AGGTTATTTCAAGTTCATAATCGAAAAAGACGTGAAAGTTAATATTATGCGGTTTCGAACCTTGCGTTCTATTGAATTTCAAGGCTTCTGCAGCAGAAACTAGAATTTATCACGGTTTGAAAGTTGTATATTTAGAATCTACTGTCCATAGGCTTTCTGCTGCTGCCTTACTCGTTTATCAAAAGACAATCCATGAAGATACAAAGAAGGTTATTTCAAGTTCATAATCGAAAAAGACGTGAAAGTTAATATTATGCGGTTTCGAACCTTGCGTTCTATTGAATTTCAAGGCTTCTGCAGCAGAAACTAGAATTTATCACGGTTTGAAAGTTGTATATTTAGAATCTACTGTCCATAGGCTTTCTGCTGCTGCCTTACTCGTTTATCAAAAGACAATCCATGAAGATACAAAGAAGGTTATTTCAAGTTCATAATCGAAAAAGACGTGAAAGTTAATATTATGCGGTTTCGAACCTTGCGTTCTATTGAATTTCAAGGCTTCTGCAGCAGAAACTAGAATTTATCACGGTTTGAAAGTTGTATATTTAGAATCTACTGTCCATAGGCTTTCTGCTGCTGCCTTACTCGTTTATCAAAAGACAATCCATGAAGATACAAAGAAGGTTATTTCAAGTTCATAATCGAAAAAGACGTGAAAGTTAATATTATGCGGTTTCGAACCTTGCGTTCTATTGAATTTCAAGGCTTCTGCAGCAGAAACTAGAATTTATCACGGTTTGAAAGTTGTATATTTAGAATCTACTGTCCATAGGCTTTCTGCTGCTGCCTTACTCGTTTATCAAAAGACAATCCATGAAGATACAAAGAAGGTTATTTCAAGTTCATAATCGAAAAAGACGTGAAAGTTAATATTATGCGGTTTCGAACCTTGCGTTCTATTGAATTACAAGGCCTCTGCAGCTGAAACTGGAACTTATCACGGTTTGAAAATTGTATATTTAGAATCTACTGTCCATAGGCTTTCTGTCGATGCCTTACTTTTTTATCAAAAGACAGCCAATGAAGGTACAACGCAGGTTATTTCAAGTGCGTAATCGAAAAAGACGTGAAAGTTAATATTATGCGGTTTCGAACCTTGCGTTCTATTGAATTTCAAGGCCTCTGCGGCATAGACTGGAATTTGTCACGGTCTGAAAATTGTATTTTTGGAATCTACCGTCGATAAACTATCTATCTGTGCCTTATTGGTGTATCACTAGACAGTTTATGAAGATAAAAAGCAGGTAATTGCAGGTGCATAATCGAGAAAGACGTGAAAGTTAATATTATATATATTTGCGGTTTCGAACCTGATGTTCTATCGACTTTCAAGGCCCTTATAGCAGAGATTTGAAATTGGGCCAGCCTGACAGTTGTATTTCTGGAATGTACGATCCATAATCTTTTTGTTGATGCCTCATTCGTGCATCATTAGGCCGGACGTAGAGATAAAAAGCAGTTTTCTCCAGCTGTGTAATCAAAAAAAATGTGAAAGTTAGTATTATAAAGTGAGGGTTAGGGTTTGAGCAGTTTCGAATCTGATGTTCTATTGAATTTTAAGGTCCCTGTAGCGGAAACGTGAATTTACGCCTGTCTGAAAATTGTATTTTTAGAATCTACGTTCCATAGGCTTTCTTTCGATGCCTTACTCGTTTATCAAAAGACAGTCCATGAAGATACAAAGCAGGTTATTTCAAGTTCATATTCGAAAAAGACGTGAAAGTTAATATGCGGTTTCGAACCTTGCGTTCTATTGAATTTCAAGGCCCCTGCAGCAGAAACTGGAATTTATCACAGTCTGAAAATTGTATTTTTGGAATCTACGGTCCATAAGCTTTCTTTCGATGCCTTATTCGTGTATCACTAGACAGTTCATGAAGATAAAAAGCAGGTTATTCCAGGTGCATAATCGAAAGACGTGAAAGTTAATATTATGCCGTTTCGTACCTGATGTTCTATCGATTATCAAGGCCCTTATAGCAGAGACTTGAATTTGGGCCAGCCTAAAAATTGTATTCTTCGAATCTACGGTCTATAAGCTTTCTGTGTATGCCTCATTTGTGCATCACTAGGCCGGACGTGGAGATAAAAAGCAGTTTTTTCCAGCTGGGTAATCGAGAAAAACGTGAAAGTTAGTATTATATAAGTGAGGGTTAGGTTTCGGGCTGTTTCAAATCGGATTTCCATTGAATTTCAAGGTGCCTGTAGCAGAAACGTGAATTTACGCCCGTCTGAAAATTGTATTTTTAGAATCTACGGTTGATAAGCTTTCTGTCGATGCCTTACTCGTGTAGCAGAAGACAGTTCGTGACGATACAAAGCAGTTTATTCCAGGTGCATAATCGAAAAAGACTGACGTGAAAGTTAATATTATGCGGTTTTGAACCTTGCGTTCTATTGAATTTCAAGGTCCCTCTAGCAGAGACATGAATTTGGGACAGTGTGAAAATTGTATTTTTAGAATCTACGGTTTTATGCCTTCTGTCGATGCATGATTCGTGCATCATTAGACGATAATAAAAAAGGTTTTTACAGCTGCAGGCATAGTCGAACCTTTCCCCTCCCAAAATGATTCCGACACAACCAGTAATCGAACCTAGCTTCTCACACATGAAACACTTCGTCCTTACCGTTAGACTACCTCGCCTACACTTGCTGTAGCTCCCTTTGTTATTCTACTTAACTCTTTCTCGTCTCTGGTGGAATAATTAACAACGATGCCTGATATTAAAATGATTTCAACAGAAGCGGGAATCGATCCTGGCTTCACGCATTTGCCACACTTCGTCCTTACCACTAGACCATCTCGCCTACACTAGCTTTAAGTCCTTTTTTATTCTACTTAACTCTTTTTCGTCTCGGAGGGAATTAACAAACAACGATGCCTGATATTAAAATGCTTTCGGCACAACCAGGAATCGTTCCTGGCTTTACGAACTTGCAACACTTCGTCCTTACCACTACACCATCTCGCCTACAGTTGCTTTAACTCCTTTTTTATTCTACTTAACTCTTTCTCGTCTCGGGTGGAATTAATTAACAACGATGCCTGACATTAAAATGCTTTCGGCGCAACCGGGAATCGATCCTGGCTTTACGCACTTGCAAGACTTCGTCCTTCCCACTAGACCGTGTCGCCTACAGTTGCTTTAACTTTTTTTTATATTCTACTTAACACTTTTTCGTCTCGGGTGGAATTAATTAACAACGATGCCTGACATTAAAATGCTTTCGGCACAACCAGGAATCGATCCTGGCTTTACGCACATGCAACACTTCGTCTCGACCACTAGACCATCTCGCCTACACTTGCTTTGACACCTTTTTTATTCTACTTAAGTCTTTGTCGTCTCGGGTGGAATTAATAAACAACGATGCCTGACATTAAAATGCTTTCGGCGCAACCGGGAATCGATCCTGGCTTTACGCACTTGCAAGATTTCGTCCTTACCACTAGACCATCTCGCCTACAGCTGCTTTAATTTTTTTAATATTCTACTTAACTCTTTTTCGTCTCGGGTGGAATTAATTAACAGCGATGCCTGAATCGATCCTGGCTTTACGCAACACTTTGTCCTTACCACTAGGCCATCTCGCCTACACTAGCTTTAAGCCCTTTTTTATTCTACTTAACTCTTTTTCGTCTCGGAGGGAATTAACAAACAACGATGCCTGATATTAAAATGCTTTCGGCACATCTCGCCTACACTTGCTTTAACTCCTTTTTTATTGTATTTAACCCTTTCTCGTCTCGGGTGGAATTAATTATAATGGTTTCTATTGATACGGACCTTAGACCTATATCACTAACTGCAGTGTTCAGCAAAATTCTTGAGTCTTTTGTTTTCAACTGGCTTGCACCTATTGTTATGCCATACATCGACCCTAGTCAGTTTGGTAGTGTGAAAAAGTCTTCAACCACTCACGCCCTCGTGCATTTGGTCCACTACTGGCTCTCTGCCCTGGAAACGCCTAACACCATTATCCGAACCTGCTTCATCGATTTTCCCAAAGCGTTTGATCGAATTGATCATAACATTCTGATGCGCAAGTTACAGCTTCTCAATGTTCCACCGGTCCTATTAAACTGGTGTTCAAGTTTTCTCCAAGGCAGACAGCAGCGCGTCAAATTAAAACTTGTAAATCAGATTGGAAAGAAATAAAAGCTGGAGTTCCGCAAGGTACCAAACTCGGTCCTCTGTTCTTTCTTATAATGGTCAAAGATCTGTCCAGCGAATTGCCTTTGTACAAGTATGTTGACGATTGTGCAATCTCTGAAGTCGTTAGAGTATGTCAACCGGACCTACCAAAATTACAGCAAGAACTTGACAACGTGACCCAGTGGTCAAGTGCGAACAACATGAAGTTGAACGTTAATTTTAAAAAAAATAAAGATTTTACCGTGTCATTTTTGATCAATCAACCCTTGACGCAACCCTTGATTGTCAATAACCAACCCCTGGAGGCTGTTAATACCATCAAGCTCCTGGGGGTAAATTTGACCTCCGATCTTAAGTGGACCACACACATCAGGCACATATCCTCCAAAGCAAGGATATTAAGAAGAAATGGTGTCCAACCGAGTGATCTTAGGACAGTATAATGTAGTTTTATCAGACCTGTCTTGGAATATGCGTGTCCAGTCTGGCATACCTCGTTACCAAAGTTCCTGACTGATGAATTAAAGCACATTCAGAGACGTGCGTTCAAAGTATTGTTCCCCACTTGTCCTACTCCGAAAGCCTCAAAGACCTAAAGTTGCCCACTCTCGAGGAGAGAAGGGAATTGTTATGCAGAGATCGATATTTTTACAAAAACAATTATAGTGACACTTCGAGCATATTTTTTAATCTATTACCTGAACCTTTAGATCATCAGTACAATCTTAAACATTCCCGATCTATCTCACTTTTCAAAACCCGAACTAAACGCTATAATGATAGTCTTTTGCCATATTGCGTACGCAAATGGAACTCTTTTTAACCTTTTAGGCTTCTATAGATTAATATATCATTTGTAAATTAGCAATCCTACGTTAATGTAATTAGTATTACCAATGTATCTGTAATCTGTATATACGTATTTTGTTCTAATATTTTTAAACTATGTAAACTTGTGTTTTTCAGTTCGATTTTGAACTGCCATTCTAGTATTTTAATAAATCTAATCTAATCTAATCTAATAACGTATGAAGCTATCCTACCCGAAATTGGCACGAAAACCACCTAAATTAAATGACGTAAAAAGTGAGAATATCGGGAATTTTTAGGGAATCTGAGGATATTTTGGGAGCTTACTTGGGATTTTTACAAAATTATAGTTGGCAACGCTGATTAGTACCGTCGTTTGCATTGAATAATGGACACGATTGGACTGACCTCTGATTGTGTGAATACAATGTTGATTCTTGATAATTTCACACTTTCCGTGGGCATGAAGAAGTGTGTGGGTGTGAAAGAGTGTGCAATCTCCATACAAAGCAGCTAGGCCGTAGGATGAGCATCCAAAAGATGCAATTCCGTTGCACCCCTTGTGTAACTACGTAATTTTCACATGAATAAATAGATAAAAACTTACTTTATCAGAATCCGTTGCTCCCCAAGCGAAACAGGTGCACAATTGGGAGAAAAATCCCTCCAAAGTTTGATATTTTCCCGCCTCGAAATACTCGAACCGCCATTATTTTGGTAGCAAATACGCATGCGCAACTCAGCCAAACTCGCACTGCGCACGCGCAGACTATAAAAATAGATTCTCACTGGGGGGGTTTCCCCGATTTCCTCCGCAAAAACAACAAAATAAAATCACGGAATACTGAT